ATACACAAAACCAAAAATCAAAAATGTCAGACAGAAAGATGACACTCTGGAATTGAGTTCCAGAACCAACAATTTGACTGAATAATGGGGATAACGTGGGTGTCACCAACAAAAACAATGCTAACCCTCGAAAAGGTAAGGATGACTGTCAAATGAACCTTGAAGGGGGCCAGAAACCAGTACAAAGTGGTCCAGCCTTCTCATAATCTGTCTGATTTCATCAGCACTTTCCACCAAATAACAACATAAATAAGCCAGTTATTGTGTACAGGACTCTTATCCTGTAAATACCTTTGATTACTACTGTTTTTAGCTCACTGACGTCAGATCAGAGCTCAGATGACCATGTGGTTTGACTAGAATACTGACCTGAGATCAGTTAGCTCTTGGTGATATAGGCTGCAGCACAGCGACCTCAAACTGCATGTTTGTCAATTCAAAAAGAAATAATTTTTCAAGTTTTTTTTTAATATTTACTGTATGAAATTAGCCAATATGATATTCTGTATTCTGCTGCAGTAAATCTGAAACAGCTGTGAAATGTAGAACGTGCTGCAGACAATTGGTGATGTGTGTTGTTTTCAGACCCAAAGAGGAAAGCAGAGCAAGCCAACATAGAGGTGCCTGAGAATTTAGAGCTGAAAAGGTCATTGCAGGCCTGTTTGGAGGAGCCACAACAAGAGAGCCCCAAGATCTATGGGGACAAACCATCCCATCTCAAGGCCAGACATGTGAAAGGCATTCGCAAAGGTTAGGGCTGCAACACTGAAATCAGGCTATACTGATGAGCCACACTGCTTTGTAATGGGCAGATAGACTCAATTGATTTACTGTATGTAACAGTCGTAAATAAGTCATAAATGCATTGCTACTTTTCATTGCAATTTTCTGTTGGAAGTGCAATGGTCTGTTTACAGCCACCTTAACTCTGTAAAAGGCAGTATAATAGAAGTTATTTGTCTATGCGGGGACCCGTAAATCAGATAGCCTGTCTGTAGGTAGCCAGTCAAAATGAAAACTACCACTGTTGCCATTTTATTCTTTCCCTTAACTTAATCTGTCCAAAGCTGGTTATTCATCTTTTTAATTATGTATGGTTGTTTCATTTTATCCCGGTTTAAAATCTCATTATTATACACAATATCATTTGTTCTTGTTGTTTATCATCATGAAGCCTAATGCATTTCTCAGTGTTGCATTATACTTTGCTCACATACCCCATGTTTTCCTCAGGTGGCCCTGAAATACGTACGGAAATGTGATGATAATGAAATTGAGCTGGTAAGTACCTCATAATTTATGGAAGCCCAAGAGTCAGAATAGTAGTCGGAGAGAATTGGAAATGTGAAAGGAAATCTATCAACCAACAACTCAACATATTCAGGCATTTAGCTTGTTACCTACTGACTGAGCCAGCTATGGTATGACATGCTTTGGTGTGTTGCTACAGCTTAGTTATGGCATTCTGAGTGAGTGAATATCAGCTCTCAACACACTTCCTGTCTTTTTCTCTTCACAGCCTGGACTTGAAGGGCCCATGCCCAGGGAGGTGGGGCTGATAAAGACTGTGAACAACCAGTCATTTCACCCCAACATCCTCAAGCTTCATGATTGGTTTGACAGGCCGTCATCCTACGTCGTGGCGATGGAGCACCCCAACCCCTGCAAGGACCTCTATTCCTACTGCCAGGATCAGGGGGACGTCCTTAACGAGGATGAGGCATGCAATATCACGCGCCAGCTGCTGGGGCCGCTGCAGCACTGTGAGGACAGCGGGATTGTGCACCGGGATGTGAAACTTGAGAACATCTTGATTCAGACTGATACAAAAGACATCAAACTAATCGACTTCGGGTGTGGGGATCGACTGAAGGACACTCCATACACGGAATTCTCTGTTCAGTGCGAGGAAATTACATACAGGAAAATAGTCTGATTGGTTTAAAAAGGTTGACAACTGAGTAGAGCTCCACCCTAATAGGGTTTATGAAATTTCATTTCAACCATTACAAGTAAAAACATCAAAAAATACCCTTGATGCCAAGCTGTGGGCAGTATTTATAACGTGACACAATTTGCCTGTCTATCAGGGACTGAGTGCTACCAGCCCCTGGAGTGGTTCAAGGAGGAGAAGTTCCTGGCAGGCCCTAGAAATGTGTGGTCTGTAGGAATCACGGTCTATGGGATGGTCTGTGGCCAGCTTCCGTTCACCACCTTCATCCTCAAGAGGATGCAGGAGGTGAATTTACCTGCAGGACTGTCAGCAGGTAAGGAGCCTTCAGGAGGGGGAGGGGCTGTGTGTGGACACTTTCCATTGTCTTCTTTGATCAATCACATGTTTTTGGTTTCTCTGTAACAGGGCAGAGGGACTTCATCCTGTGCTGCCTTAGACCCAACGCAGAGGACCGGCCCACCCTGGGACAGCTGCAGCTCCACCCCTGGCTCCAGCTGTCCTGCTGAAGCTGGGTTACAGGGAGTATTGCAAACCCCCTGGTCTGGTAACCAAAGCGCTCAAGGGGGAAATCATGTCTTGTATGTCAAATGTTTTTAAGTTTGTTGAAATGATGAAGATGGGTCCACTAATACAACTCAACATTTGAAATTAGAGGAAATGTAAAACAGAAGCAAACAAAAAGGAGCTGGTGGGTAAGTAGTTTTTGTTTATGGATGGGAGTCATTTGGCTGTGGTGTAAGCAGTGAGACAAATAACCATTGCAGGCTGGTCACCCCTTGTGGTTGATGGGGAACCTATTTGCAACTGAAAAAACCAAAAGGCTGGTTGGTAGTTCATGCTTAGCATTATCGGATCTTAGCAACCTGATGCAAATGCCATGGAACATGTTTTAATGGTTATTTTAAGAAAATTGGTAAAATATTAATGTAATATAAAAACATTGATAACGATCTAATGGCTCTCCCTCCCACTCTTAGTCCCCTCCACAGTTCCAGATACAGACGGCTAGGAGTGGAGCCCACCGCAACAGTGAAGGAGGAATGCTGGGGTGAGGAGCTGGCTCAGGCTTAGGTAATCCGCTGTGCTTACAGCACCATCTGCATAGTAGCGCACACAGCTCAACCCCCACAGCAGTACAGTGCTGACACAGTCTAAATTTAGAAAGGTCTACATGTGTGTGTAGTGGGATTCTTACACCTTACACCTTCGAATACCACTCTGTTACCATCACCTGTCCTGCTAAACGCTTTATTGCTGCCATCTGTCATCCCCCAGGGCCTCTGGGAAACTTTATGGATGAGCTGGACACCCTGCTCAGCTCTTTCCTGGAGGATTTGCTTGGTTAGGCATGCTGAATATTGTGGCTGTTTTGTGATCTGGTATGTGTTAACTAAAGAGTTACCAGTAAAGAGAAGAATAGTTACATCAGCAGGGCATCCTCAATACACAATTCCACATCAAATTGCTCAGTTATTTTTGTGTTCAGCCCAGGCAGAGTGATAATGCAAGTGGTAGCAATACATCACACAGCCAGACTCTGAGGTTGCTCCTTATTTTCAAATGGTTGTTGCTGAAAGATAAGCTCACCAGGAATATGAAGTCCCCACACCCGTATTGAGATTTACGACTGCATTTGGCTAAGGGATCAGCAATACTAGCTTGGAAGGCACTGCTCTGGCTGTCCTCCATGCGTCTGGATGATGCTGTATTTGCTGTATGTTTGTGCTGTCACATATGCATTCTTATGCTGGTTGGTCTTGAATTTACTGGACTGTTCGATTATTGCCTGCTTTACGCTGTCACATCATGTTCAGCTTTACGACAGTCCTCTGTGACATGACCTGCTTTGTCACAGAAATTGCACAGTTTTGATTTGCTGACAATCATGGACTGTCGTGCCACACCCCCTTCTGCCAGCCACTCAATGGGGTGTGCACCCTCGTCTGCCTGGCCTTGATTTATTTTTAAACTACCCTCCATTCTTGATACCCACCTAACTGTTACATTGAATGTATTGACAGATAGACGTCTTACCTGATGTCTTACTGCTTACCGGCCAGAACCCTCGGATCACCTTTGGGTCTGATCAAGTTGAAAACTTCTGGAAACAGTCCTAACAGGACATGCTCAAGGCCATCGAATTAAAAGTGTATAGATCAAGTTATACAAGAAGAAACAAAATAGAGTTGTAGGTCAAAATGATTGTTTAATGAATACCTTTTCTATAAACACCAATGTAAAGTGCTTCTTCTGAAAAAAATTAAAATTCATGGGCAACTGATGTCATATTCTGGCAACTGATGTCATATTCTGGCCACTGTTCTCAGAGAGAAGCCTCTGTGAGTGAGGACTCAAACAAAAGTCACTGTACTGCCGAGATAATCGCCACATCGAAAGGTGCGAATGGCTCAGAGTGCAAGGACACCAGCTTTATGAAAGCCATTTCGGCGGCAACCTCCTGTGAACGTCGTGCAGCGTGTCTGGCTTGCTGGCTTCATGTACTGCAGCACGTCTCAGGTATGGACAGACTTTGGCCCACAGGGAATGAAAGACATCCAGGAGCTCCATACACTGTCCTGCGTAGCGTACATGGGAGCAATTGGATGGGCGGAGTTTCGCTTTACACCGCACCCCTCTTCTTGCTGTTGGGTGACGGGAGGTGGACGGGGGGCTTCGCGAGGGGTCCACTCCTGTCCGCCAAGTGAGGCGGGAGTTGTGGGAGCACCCGTAAGGATGGGCAGGGCAGAGTGCGCACAGAGATTCAAAATGCTTTCCCTGACCGGGAATCGAGCCTCAGCGGTGAGAGCGCCGAATCCTAACCACTAGACCACCAGGGAAGGAAGCTGAGAGCTGCCCTGTGGGTGGTGTGTGAGTGGGAAATGAGCATTGAATAATTGAGAAGAAGAGGCAAGCGAGAGGCAAAACACTGGATGCGGTAAGGATGTTGCGTGCCACGGCTGTGAAGTTTGTAAGAGATGCGGCGGCCAGACCAAGTGATTCCTCGAAAAGATCAACAGCATCATCTGTCAGAAGGCAGGGGGCACGTTGCACCAGCCGGGAATCGGACCCGGGTCGCAGGAAATGGGAATCTTGCATGATTCCCCTACACTACTGGCGCCATATAAAGCTTTGCTCACATGCCTCCAATTTTTTTGCATTGAATAATTGAGAAGAAGAGGGGAGTGAGAGGCAGCGGGAGGTCATGCTTAATAACCCTCCAGGACTTTTTTGAGGAAGCTACAGTGTGTTTAGATGCAAATCAAGCTAATGATATTGTCTGTTTAGACTTTCAAAAGGCATTTGACAAAGTACCACATGGGAGGCTCATAATGAAAATGAAATGTGCAGGAATTACAGGAGCTATCACTGAGTGGACTCAAAGTTGGCTGTCTGGTAGAAATCAGAGTGTAACTGTGGGAGGAACTGTATCATAGGAGAGTCCTGTACGAAGTGCAATCCCGCAGGCAACACAGCACACGGAGACGCAAAATGCTTTCCCTGACCGGGAATCGAACCCGGGCCGCGGCGGTGAGAGCGCCGAATCCTAACCACTAGACCACCAGGGAAGGAAGCGGAAGATAGCCTCGTGGGTGCGGTCTGCATGGGAAATGAGCATTGAATAATAGCAAACAACCGGCAAAACCCACTGCCGGTTGAATGGCAAAGGGGCTGGCGATGTGACAGCAAACGCTCATCCTTCCCAACGGATGCACGTGGCCCAGAGGTGCTGGCTCAGCGGCTGCGCATGTGACCTGCGTAGCCATGCCATGGGTGCGTACCGATACACGCAAAGTGCGTCCTCTTTTCCTCCACCATCACCTCGTCTCCCACCTCTCTCCAATACTTGGACATTGGAGTGAGGGCGGACACAAGGTAATGGCGGAGGAGACGAGGATATACATTTTGAGTATTGGAACGCACCCCGCGTGTGCTTTCTCCTGCGCCATGATCTACCAACACACACACACACACACAGAAACACACAAAAAAAAAAAACAGACAGCGGCTTCTGGGCAATCCATTGAAACCCGAAAACTTTTACACTGCTTTTCCAGTCTTGTTTTTATCCATGGCTAAAAGCCCTTATTTCTCAGAAACTAGTGTAAAGGGAAAAGAAATAAATCATGGTGAACACCTTGAATGCAGGAACACCTTGCCTCTTGGCTTCCTGAGAACCTAGAGGAAGCTGTAGCAGAGTGGTTTTTACGCACATGAGACATATTTTATGGTCTCTTTGTCTGTCTACAGCAAGTTCCGTCACCACATCGGTACATAGGACGCCAACGTGGGAGCTGACAGTGTTAAGGTCAGGGTTAGTTGTTTTTCTCCACCTCTATTTTCTCTTCGTTCAATGAATAGAAAGGACATGTTTTGCCCACAAATTTGTCTCTGAATGCACTTCAGCCAGATGAGCTGGCCCTGCAGATGGATGCGGGAACTCCTCCGCCGATGGGGGTTGGCCTCCGTCCGATGTCCGTTCAGTGGAGGAACTGGAGCCACGCTGTTTTCGTGAAGCCTAGGAAAATGAGAAGTCTGGCGGGTATATCTTGAGACAAACCTTGGAGCAAGTCAGCGGTCAGCCTCGGTGTAGGTTTTTGAAACAAACACGGCACTGGAATTATTTCTTCTGGACAGGTAATGCCCTTACCGTGCCCGGTGTTTGCCTTTCACTCCCCTCTTCTTCGCAATTATTCAATGCTCATTTCGCATGTGGACCTCACCCATGGGGCTTCTGTCAGCTTCCTTCCCTGGTGTTCTTGTGGGTAGGATTTGGCACTCTCATTGCCATGGCCCAGGTTGGATTCCCGGTCGGGGAAAACCTTTTGAGTCTCATGCATGCATGCTCTGCCCTGCCTGTCCTTACGGATACTCCTGCCTCACTTGGTGGACAGGAGTGGGCCCCCTGCAGGACCCCCCCCCCCACCCAGCAGGAAGAAGAGGGGTGTGGTGTAAAGCGAAGCTCCGCCCATCCAAATGCTCCCACGTACGCTACGCAGGACAGTGTATGGAGCTTGTGGTTTCATGAAGCCAGCAAGCCAGACTCGCTGCACAACGTTCACAGGAGGTTGCCGGCGAAATGGCTTTCATAAAGTTGGTGTCCTTGCACTCTGAGCCATTAGCACCTTTCGGAGTGACGATTATCTCAGCAGTGCGCTGTCTTTTGTTTGAGTTCCTGCTCACAGAGGCATCTCTCTGAGGACAGTGGCCGACATTGTCTTCTTCCTGTCTTCTTCATCTTCTTTCTGTCTTCTTAATCAACTATGTCTTGCGAAACATCCGTGGACTGAAAAAAGTTACAAGGCCATTACAGCACTCAGAAATGTGTTTGTCCCTCCCTTTTATTCCCATATCAAATTAAATGTACGAAAGTTGTCAATGTTTTTGTTTCCTCTTGTCAAATGACATGCATTTGCTCCCTGAACTTTGGAAAAAATGTCCACTTTTCTCTTGGGCGTTTGGAGTTTGATTGCTGCCATTCTGGGAAAAAGAAACTGTGAACGTTTGGGGTACCCTGTGCGACAACATGTATCCTTCCTGGGTAATTTGTTTTGGACCACCGATCTTCTTTAATGGGTTTTGCGCCCTGTTTTGTTTCATTTTTTTTTTTGCCGGGTTGAAGTGTGTTTTGAAAATGGGACGAACGTCACAATCACTGAGGCCAATTAAACAGGAAGGAACTGAATGAGATGAAAAAAGACAATTGTAGATATATTCTTATATGTATATTTGTATTGTTAATCCTGATTTTACTGCTCTATTCGTTTTGCACTCTCACCAGCTCTCACAACTGTGACAAAGAAATTCACTACATTGCAGTATGTGTTTCAGCTGCAGTACAGTAGAGAATTGTTACGGAGTAAGTTGACAGGGATTAATTGGAGAGAGGTGGGAGACGAGGTGATGGTGGAGGAAAAGAGGACGCACTTTGCGTGTATCGGTACGCACCCATGGCATGGCTACGCAGGTCACATGCGCAGCCGCTGAGCCAGCACCTCTGGGCCACGTGCATCCGTTGGGTAGGATGAGCGTTTGCTGTCACATCGTCAGCCCCTTTGCCGTTCAACCAGCAGTGGGTTTTGCTGGTTGACGGGAATAAAAGGGCACTCCTTCGAGCCAGATTTGAACCAGCGACCTAAGGATGGCTAACAAGCGAACCTACAGTTCTCCGCTCTCCCAACTGAGCTATCGAAGGCAGGTGTGACCTGGCCCTCCTTGCTCGTTTTCACCGTAGTCCCTTTTGCAGTTCAACGCTACACTTCTTTGCCTGGTTTTTTTTGTTTTTTTTTCTTCTTCCTGGTGCTGTTGTAAAAGAAATTGGAAGCACGTGGGCAGCCCTTCTAAGGCGCCAGTAGTGTAGGGGCATCATGCAAGATTCCCATTCTTGCGACCCGGGTTCGATTCCCGGCTGGCGCAACACGCCCCCTGCTTCTTGAGAGATGACACTGTTGACCTTTTTGAGGAATCGCTTGGTCTGGCCACTGCGTCTCCTGCAAAGTTCACAGCTGTGGCATGCAACGTCCTTACCGTGTCCAGTGTTTTGCCTGTCGCTCGCCTCTTGTTCGCAATTATTCAATGCTCATTTCCCATGCAGACCACACCCACGAGACTATCTTCCGCTTCCTTCCCTGGTGGTCTAGTGGTTAGGATTCGGCGCTCTCACCGCCGCGGCCCGGGTTCGATTCCCGGTCAGGGAAAGCATTTTGCATCTCCGTGCGCTGTGTTGCCTGCGGGATTGCACTTCGTACAGGACTCTCCTATGATACAGTTCCTCCCACAGTTACACTCTGATTTCTACCAGACAGCCAACTTTGAGTCCACTCAGTGATAGCTCCTGTAATTCCTGCACATTTCATTTTCATTATGAGCCTCCCATGTGGTATTTTGTCAAATGCCTTTTGAAAGTCTAAACAGACAATATCATTAACTTGATTTGCATCTAAACACACTGTAGCTTCCTCAAAAAAGTTTATTAAGCATGACCTCCCGCTGCGAAAACTATGCTAGCTATCATTTAAGATACCATTTTGTTCAAGGAATAATTCCAAATTGTCCCTAATGATGGATTCCAGCTCTTTGCATGTGATACAAGTTAAGCTGACAGGCCTATAATTTCCTGGATCAGTCCAAGATTTTAGGTGCCGTGTAACAGCAATTGACTCTGTTATCTTTAACAGGTACATGGAAAGGTTACTTGTAATGTTGAAAGAAATGGTTTACTAACAAATGCTAACAGGACGCTGGTACCAATTTCAAAGAAACAAAAACACAGGCTCAAAAACTTTTTGAATTTTCTTGGCAAGTTCTCATAGGGATTTCCTCCTAGAATATCATGTACACTCCCTAACTTTAAAACTATACCTCATATTTTCAAGTGTGAGCCTGGACATGCATTACAGACAAATGGCTTCATGTCTGTAAGTGGCTGAAGCTCAGGGATCTTCCTGGCCATCCTCTCCAAATATGGAAAATCATTTACTTTACAGGGTGGCATAATGGCATAACAGGTAGAGAGGCCAACCAGGAATTTAAATGTTACTCCTTCCAACACCAGCATCAATAGGAGGGTGTATTGTAGCTTTCAGTTTGTACCACTGTAGAGTGGTTGGTATTATATCTACAGTATATCCACCAGCTCTGACCTTGACCAAGGCACAGAACCCCCAAACTGCTTCAGGAGTGCTACAACAGGGGCAACCATGTAAAATGACAATGAAGTATTCTTTTAAGAAATAGTATATTTTTTATCAGAGCAAGTCAACATTAAAGACTGTTGCAACCATTGATGTATACACAGTTCAAACTTCACAGTGAAGATTTAGTGATGGGTGTGCCTGACTGAACGTAATGTCCATGCAAAATAATGTATACCTGTAGCAAAGATGTGTCACGGCCTTTAATGACAGACAAGGTCCCAAGGCACACATTCTCTGCAGCGCATACAATATTGGCACAAAGGCATGAGACACAACACTTTCCGATTGTATAGTGGTTTTTCAATTTGTTCAATAGGTAAATACATTGTTACCTTTAATTTGCTATTTAAACGAAAATACAAAGAAAAATATTCTTTTAATTAATTTTACAGTAGTATGACATATTTTAAATATAAACACACAATTTATTATTACAATTTATATATATCTTTCCACCTGTAGCAAAGGAAAGATATATCATGGCCTTTAATGACAGACAAGGTCCTGAGGCACGCTTTCTCTATAGGGTGAAACATATCTTTTAAAACGGCTACAGGACTACTGCAGTACACTCAGTATATGCAGGAAAAAAATACAATAAAGAACACAAAGGCAGTTGCATACCTGCACCCCATACGATATAACAAAGGCAATTAGACAAAACGATCTCTCAAAACACTCAAACTCCCCGTGAGTTAGTTTCACCCATTTATGCCTGTGAAAGATGATCTCCTTAATAAATGCAGGGAACTACAAAACAAAATGGTGACAGAACTGCCCCCACTGCTGAAAGTTGGTGGAATTAAAACCGCCCTGTCACATATACAAAGGATGGTAACTGGTGGTTGCTGACCAGTATCTGTACACAAGAAGGTCGATGATGTCAGGTGTCCACTTGCTAGGGCAGGATGGACAGCACACACATGGCATGATTATAGATTATATCATCCCAAAGACAAAAAGAAACATTCTAAGAATCATTTGGGGGCCAACTGCTGGAGAGACTTGCCACAACATAGAATTAAACAGCTGCACATTATCTTCAACACATCTTCAACAGTTTGTGTAGGGAGAATAGAATTTGGCTAAGGGATCAACCATACCAGCTTGGAAGGCACTGCTGTGGCTGTCCTCCATGCGTCTGGACGATGCTGTATTTTCTGTATGTTTGTGCTGTCACATATGCATTCTTATGCTGCTTGGTTTTGAATCCTGAGGACGAGGTCACACGTGCCTTCGATAGCTCAGTTGGTAGAGCGGAGGACTGTAGGTTCACTTATAAGCCATCCTTAGGTCGCCGGCTCGAAGGAGTGCCCTTTTATTCCCGTCAACTGGCAAAACCCACTGCCGGTTGAACGGCAAAGGGGCTGGCGATGTGACGGCAAACGCTCATCCTACCCAACGGATGCACGTGGATGGAGCTGCTGGCCCAGCGGCTGCGCATGTGAGCTGCGCAGTCATGCCGTATACATTTTGAGTATTGGAATGCACCCCACGAGTGCTTTCTCCCGCACCATGATCTGCCAACACACACAAACACAAAAAAAACTCAGGCAGCGGCTTCTGGGCAATCCATTGAAATCTGAAAGCTTTTACACTGCCTTTTCAGTCTTGTTTTCATCCATGGCTAAAAGCCCTTGTTCCTCAGAAACCAGTGTAACAGGAAAAGAAATAAATCACGTTGGTTCTTGGGAAGCCAAGAGGCAAGGTGTTCCTGCATGGAAAGTGTTCACCATGATTTCTCTAAGGGTTTTGGCCATGCCCATAGCCGAGCAGGTGATGGTAACAGAGTGGCATTCGAAGGTGGTCATCTCAACAAACTTAAAAACATTTTGACAGGCAAGACATGAATTCCCCCTTAAGCACTTTGTTTACCAGACCAGGGGGTTTGCAATACTTCCTGTAACCCAGCTTCAGCAGGACAGCTGGAGCCAGGGGTGGAGCTGCAGCTGTCCCAGGGTGGGCCGGTCCTCTGCACTGGGTCTAAGGCAGCACAGGATGAAGTCCCTCTGCCCTGTTACAGAGACACCAAAAACATGTGATTGCTGAAAGAAGACAATGGGGAGTGTCTACACACAGCCCCTCCCCCTCTTGAAGGCTCCTTACCTGCTGACAGTCCTGCA